GAGAGCTGCTTAGCACTTGCCCTCCTGGTGAGTGCGTGCACCCACCGACACGCTAGCTGCTCTCCGCGCAAATAGGCTGCCCTGTAGAATCATTTCAACTCCCGCTCAAGGTCTTTCCTAAGAAACCATGAATAGTCCTAGCTGCCGATACAGCTACTTCCCATAAATTCTCAGTGTGAAGTATTTTTGCCTTCTGCGTGTTGAGGGTTCCCCGGTGGCCAGTCGCTCTGCTGCAACAGTAAATAAGTCCTAAAAATTATCCTCAAGTTGGCTGCTGCACCAGCCATGGAAAAATCTGCATTCTATATCCACACTTGACGGACTGTGACCTCCACTTTTGGTGAGCCGTCGTATTTTTCTGCTGAAAATGTATTTCCGCTTCACATTCCCAGTGTGCAGTCGACTGTTTGTTGCTAGTCTTTGGTGTACCTGCAGTGTGGGAATTTGCCCACCCTCAGCATTCATTACTTAAAGGGGGCTGTGGAGCTGCTGGAGTTACTGCTTAGTTCCACATTCGCTCGATCCCTCATTCGTCTACACGACCGCAGAGTAGACTTCTCCGCGAGATCTGCAGTGGTTCTCGTAATTGGAAATTGCGTCGTTGGGCTTCCAGCCTCAACAGTCACCACCTCTGCCACAGGGTGCCAGCTCACAGTACTCTTGCGAGTTTTGGGGGCTTTACGAAGCTCTTCGTTTGCTCTGTGCAGCTTATCGCCTGCCCTGCTCACACCACTCTTGAGGGGGATAGCAGCTTTACCAGCAGGCTTTTCCTCCTCTTGCTCCTTCAACTGGTCGCCTTCTAAATTCACAGCACCCTTGCTGGTGGAAGGGGTTCCAAAAGACATTTCCTCTTCTTTTTGCAGCTCGTCGGCTTCCGTTTCTTGCTGAATGCTCGTTGAGTGGCTTTCCTGTTCTGACGACCTGTCCATGTCTTGCTGAATGTTCGTTGAGTGGCCTTCCTGTTCTGACCATGGTTCACTTGAGCTGGAACTACGCTGGAGAGTTTCCGTAGCGCTTTCTTCTAAAGGCGAGAGTTGGGCTTCTTCCCCACGGTGGCCGCAAAGTTCATGTCGTGCTTCCTCCGCTTCGCGGCTCTGATCCCGCCGACCAGTTACTTCGTCACAGAGCTTGGCTTTCTCCTTCTCCTCGACTTCTTTTTCTTGGCGCTCGACCAATCTCCTCAACTTGTGCCAAGCCCTCCGTGAGACCACTGCAGGCCGTTGGTCTCGCGGAGGCCCTCGTAGAGCCGCTCCGCCTTCAGGTCTCTCAGGCTTGTTCATCGGGGTCGATGGAGGTGTTGGGGGCACTGATGGGCTCCCTTCATCGTCAGACTCCAATGGACTTCCCTCGGTTTCTTCTGCAGGGGTATCGACGAAGTCGACGTTATTTTCAAACGGATAACAGAATGCGGCCAAGTCAGATCCAAAGGATTCTGCAAACTTTTCCGACTCAGTGACAGCCTTCTCAAGGGCCGAATACTCTCTGGTGCAGCGTTCTGCTGGCCTGCCGGGCGTCACTTTCATGGCGGTCGAGTGCAAGCCCTGTGCACTCACAAGGTAAGGGTTTTGTGGTTTGGTGACCGCAAATGAGAGTCTCAGCAAAAAATCGCGCCAGCTCTCTCTCACAAAGATTTCCTTTGTAAACTAATCATAATGACAAAAAAGAAGCAAATGTGCAGCGAATGTGCAGCTGTCCAGTTGAATGACAATGTGGGTTGCCGTGCTTGGCTACTAGCCAGACGGTCGATCTACAAAGTAAAGTTAATCGAGTAAAGCCACCCCTCACCCCCAATGCCTTCCTTGTTGACTCGTGTGTATTATATAATTGCCTTATACTAATCAGTGCGAAAGAAAAAAGGTCCTGTTGAGGTTGTGAAGGGCATTGCTTGTGGTAACCGGTGACCTTAGGGCCTGCTCGTGTTGGGCAGGCAGCCAACGCGTTGCCGCTGCTAGCCTTAACTGTGCCTGACACCATTTGAAGACCTCATCCTCCTTTCATCTCAAAGCGTTTGTGGAATTTCCAGGGTGTTTCTACTAAGTTTCCGGTCAGGCACAACCCCCGCAGGAGATGTTACTGGTAGTAGCATCCTTGGAGCGAGAAGGTTCTCGTGATTCGGCGTCACCGGCCTTCTAGTACCAGTTACAACCACAAAATAACTGCCGAAAGGAGAAGTATCTGCATGGCGTCCATCGTTTATTTATTTATTTAGAAAAGGCATGTTTACCGCACACAATGGACTAACGGCGACTCTTGCGGCTCTCATTTCATCTTCCCGACAACTGATCTACAGTGTTGTGATCGGTATACACGTAGATGGCTCGCAGCGTGCTGATCGAGCAGCTGCATGGCATCTATCGTATATTTTGAAAATACCGGTGTACCCTGTACAGTGATCAAATGCCCACTGTTGCGGCTCTGCAGCATTTCAGCTGCCCAAGAATGAATGACCTAGAGTTGTGCTGCCCTAAGACTAACCTAGAATGGTGCGATCTGCATACCATACAGGAACGTGGCTCACAGTGTGCTGATCGAGCAGAGAGCTTGCTGATCTTCGCGTTCACCAGTAAATGCTGCTTCAAGGAGGCGGAAGCGTTAGTTGAGTGTCGATTGTTCGCCAGCTCGCTCGACACTCTCTAATGGTTAGGGTATCCTCGCATCTAAAGGTGCTACCGAGAAGTGACAGTTATCTTTCTCGAGAAGCCTGGTTTTCTGTCCCTTTTTGCCTGCAATGAATCACCGAGACTCCTCGGGCGCACAACCTTCATCTCAAGGCCTTCCGCAAACAAACAATCTGAGCATTCTGTTGCATGCATGAGCCTTTAATAATCGTCAGGTTCCTCGTTAGTCTCCAAGCAAAAACTGGCGAAAATCTCGAAACTAGTGCAATGGCTCCCCACAAAGTCGTGCCTGCACCGTGTCTAGTGCCAGCTTCCTGAACTGGAACTGTCAAGTGATACACCTTGACGGTTCCCGATCAGGAAGCAGTTGGTATTCCCTTTGTGCATCACTGACACGAACTCCAGCACTAAAACACACCTGGTCAGGACTCAAACCTCTAAGGCTAATCTCTCAAAGCACTGCATGCCATGAGTGCCAGGTGACGGACGGCTGCACCGTACAAATATATTTACCTCCCACAACGCTTCAAAAGAGTGATCCGTTCCTGCACTACTTTTGCCAGAGTGAAAAAGACTGTCAATCATTGAACCTAGCATCGGCAGCAATAAATAAAGCATCAGCAACGAGGCTGATCAGCCACAAACTTGTACCTTGTGAATTTACGAGACCCCACATACAAACAGCTTCCGCCTTTAGCAATCTGGCAAGAGGCAAGGGTGCTTTCACTCATTCAACTTAATAAAACGCAGGCAGCCAATGCAGCACATTGTCCGCTCTCCGA